GAACTGTCAGAAATAAATTTATTGTTTATAAACTGCCCAGTTCATGATGTTTTGTTATAGCAACCCTAACAGTTGGTACTTTGCTATATTTGTTGGATATTTTCTCCTAGTTAAAACATGGTTTTAAATAGCTGCAAAGTTGGAATAATGGTGTAAGTAATATTTCACCTCAACACTGTGAAGAACATCTTTTATGGATATGCACTTTTTTTTTTTTGAGGAAAATTTGCCAGAAGTGGGATTGTTTGGATTAAAGTATATACGTTGTGATTTATTTTATTTTTTTTTTGAGACAGAGTCTCACTTTGTCACCCTTGGTAGAGTGTCTTGGCATCATGGCTCATAGCAACCTCAAACTCTTGGGCTCCAGTGATTCTCTTGTCTCAGCCTCCCAAGTAGCTGGGACTACAGACGCCTGCCACAATGCCCAGCTATTTTTAAGAGACAAGGTCTGACTGTTGCTTAGACTGGTCTCAAACCTGTGAGCTCAGGCAATCCAACCACTTTGGCCTCCCAGAGTGCTAGGATTACAGGCATGAGCCACCACGCCTGGCCTCACATTGTGATTTTTAATATGTATGTGCAAAATATCCTCCATAAAGATGGTACCACCTCACACACTCCTGCCAGCAATATACAAATACCATTTGTTCACATTGTTAACAAGGTTAGATAGTATTTTTTAGCTGGCAACTTGATAGGTGTATTAGTTTCCTAGGGCTATCATAAGGGATTACCATAAACTGGTTGGCTGAAAACAATAGAAATGTATTCTCTCACAGTCTGAAGGTGAGAAGTTTAAAATCAAGGTTTCTGCAAGGCCATGCTCCCTCTGAAGTCTCCAGGGAAGAATCTTTCCTTGCTTTTGGTGGTTGCTGACAATTGTATTTGTTGGCCTATGACAGCATAACTTCAATTTCTCTCTCTATCTTTACATGGCCTTCATCCTCGTGTGTCCTTACATAGGTTTCTTTTTCTTTTTAGAGACAGGGTATCACTCTGTCACCCAGACTGGAGTACAGTGGCATGATCATAGCTCACTGCAGCCTCCAACTTTTGGGCTCAAGGGATCTTCCTGCCTCAGCCTTCTGAGTAGCTGGGGACTAGGACTACAGGTATGTGCTACCATGCCCAGCTATGTATTTTTTTTTAAGAGATAAGGTTTTGTTATGTTGCCCAGACTATACAGCCTCCTTACATGAACACCAATGATATGCTGGGACATGAACACCAATGATATGCTGGGACAAGATTTAGGGCCTATGCCAATAGTATGATCTCTTCTTAACTAATTACTTCTACAAAGACCCTATTCCAAATAAGGTCACATTTTGAAGTTCTAAGTAGACATGAATTCTGAGGGCAACACCATTCAATTCAGTAAAATAGGCGAAACTAAGTTTATTATTTTATTATTTATTTTGAGACAGAAACTCAAGCTGTCACCCTGGGCAGAGTGCCGTGGCATCAAGGCTCATAGCAACCTCCAACTCCTGGGCTTAAGTGATTCTCTTGCCTCAGCCTCCCAAATAGCTATGACCACAGGCACTCACCACAGTGCTCGGCTTTTTTTTTTTGCAGTTTTTGGCCTGGGCTGGGCTTGAACCCGCCACCTCTGGCATATGGAGCCGGCGCCCTACTCCTTTGAGCCACAGGCACCGCCCTCCTCGGCTATGTTTTTGGTTGTAGTTGTCATCATTGTTTGGTAGGCCTGGGCTGGACTCAAACCCACCAGCTCTGGTATATGTGACTGGCACCTTAGCTACTTGAGCTATAGGTGCTGAGCCATATTATTATTTTAATATTCAGCTTTTATTAAAAGGAAGCACACATACACAATAGCCCAGAAATGCAGGGGGAATGTGTCCTCCCTGAGGGGCAGGTGATCTAATCCTGCTTGTCCTCTGTTTATCATTATGTACTGTAGAATAACATAGAATAACTATGAGAATGTTCCCTGCTTCATTGCCCATTTACCAGCCCATTGTCCTCAAATCACTGGGGAAAATATAACAGAAGTGGCAATCTTCAACCCCCAGACTTATCCTCTACAATGTAGAGTCTACAATCAGGGGTCCTCAAACTTTGTAAACAGGGGGCCAGTTCACTGTCCCTCAGACTGTTGGAGGGCTGGACTGTGGGGCCCAGGACCAGTAGGCTGCTAAGCAGGACAGGCAGCGGCAGCAAAAACACCCAGCAGGCCAGATAAATGTCTTAGGTGGGCTGCATGTGGCCCGTGAGCTGTAGTTTGAGGACGCCTGGTCTACATGATGCTGAAATCATGCTTTAAAAGTGTTAGAATGAGGCTGTGTGTGGTGGCTCACACCTACAATCCTAGCACTCTGGGAGGCCGAGGCAGCTGGAACTCCTTAGCTCAGGAGTTCAAGAGCAGCTTGAGCAAAAGTGAGACCCCATCTCTAAAGAAAATAGCTGGGTGTTATGGCAAGTGCCTGTAGTCCTACCTACTTAGAAGGCTGAGGAAAGAGAATCACTTGAGCAGAGGAGTTTGAGGTTGCTGTGAGCTATGACACCACAGTGCTCTACTAAGTGTGACAAAGTGAGATTCTGTCTCAATACATAAAAAATACATACATAAATAAATATAGTGTTAAAATAGCCACTACTTTGGTTCAGGTCTTGATTTGACCCCGAGAGCCTACCTTTGGCAGGTCATGATTTTTCTACGCTCCAACTTCATCGTCATGAAGGTAAGACTAAGGTTGGGCAAACTGGGCAATTTCTAGGGTTTCTCTTACTTCTGAATGGATGTCCTGACCTGAACCTTCTATCATCAGAGGAGATTCTGGATGATCTGGCTAAATCATGTCAGGCTATATGCAGAAGATGGCAAGTGGCAAGTCACGTACCTTTTCAGGTAAGGCAGCTCCCCGGCTACAGAACAGGACTGATCTAGGCCTGCTCAGCACTCTTCACTCCTCTCCTCTGCAATTCCCAGCCATGATGCAGTTTCTGAGTTTGCTTACAGCCATCAGCTCTAACCAGGAGCCTGGCATCAGCCTCCTAGCTAGAGTCTCTGCTCTCATGCTCACCAGCTTTCCAATCTAATTGCCCCACAGCTGGCAGAGTGAGATTTTTATTACATGAGACAGTTTGTTGCTCTTTTGCTTTAGAAAACTGTGATATTGGTTTGGCATGGTGGTTCACACCCATAATCCTAGTACTCAGGGAGGCTGAGACAGTTGGATCAGTTTAACTCAGGAATTCAAGACCAGCCTGAGCAAGAGGGAGACCCCATCTTCAAAAATAGCCGGGCATTGTAGTAGGCGCCTGTAGTTCCACCTACTTGGAAGGTTGAGGCAAGATAATCACTTGAGCTCAAGAGTTTGAGGTTGCTGTGAGCTATGACACCATAGCACTCTACTGAGGGTGACAAAGTGAGACTCAGTCTAAACAAAACAAAAAACCCTGAAATATTTACTCACTATAATTTTAGTGAATCTAGTTTATTCACTGTGCCTCTTACCAGGTCCTGAATCTTATTTATCACCTTCAGGTTTCAGTTCTGGCTTTCCTCAACTGCACTGTCATTCCTGGTTATTCTGTCTCCTTGTACTGTTTCCCAGAGTCCCTAGCCCAGTCTATAATTACACAGAATGCCATGTACAGTGTCTCCTCTATAGAAATTCAAGCCCCACATGCTATTTACCACCAAATGCCCTGCTAGTATAATGCTTCAAACATAGTGGCCACTCAAATGATTGCCGAATACATGACCAGTCTATGCTTCTCAAACTCTTTTTTATGTTCCTTCTGGCAGAACCATTTGGTTTTCTGGGTCCTTAGCATCCATGTCTCTCTGCTAGTAGTTCCCTCCATCCGCCAGGCTCTGTGACTGTGTTAACTCCTCTAATACTCAAAAAAAAAAACCATGCAGTGGGAATACCTCTATAGTCCCCATTTATAGAGAAGGAAACTGAAGTTCAGCAAGGTCAAGTGCCTTGCTTTTGGTCTACATAGCTAGAACTGGTGGCGTCAGGATTCAAACATACCAAGTGAGTACCTTATAAACCAAACTCATCAGAGTGGAACTCTGGCAGAAGGCTGTATCCCAGAGAGGTATGGCAGCTTATCAAAGATACTCAGCAAGTTTAAGGCTAAATGGAGACTAGACACTGGGGTGGGGAGTGGCTCAAAACTCCCAGGTTGTCTCGGCGCCTGTGGCTCAAGTGGCTAAGGCACCAGCCACATACACCTAAGGTGGCCTGGGTTCAAATCCAGCCTGGGTCTGCCAAACGATGGCTGCAACCAAAAAATAGCCAGGTGTTATGGCAGGCGCCTGTGGTCCCAGCTACTTGGGAGGCAGAACAGGAGACTCGCTTGAGCCCAGGAGTTGGAGGTTGCTGTGAGCTGTGATGCCACAGCACTCTACCCAAGGGGACAGCTTGAGGCTCTGTCTCAAAAAAATAAATAAAATAAAAAAAACTCCCAGATTGAGGCCAAACTGAGGCCACAGTGCTTCCCCACAGCCAAGACAGTTAGCTTTCCTCTGTATGATTTAAAAATGAAAAACAGGGTGGCACAGTAGCTCAGTGGGTAGGGCGCCAGCCACAGACACCCAGGTTAGCAGTTTCAAACCGGGCTAGGGGCCAGCTAAACAACAACTGCAACAAAAAAATGGCTGAGCATTGTGGTGGGTGCCTATAGTCCCAGCTACTTGGGAGGCTGAGGCCAAAGAATTGCTTAAGCCCAAGAGTTTGAGGTTGCTGTCAGCTGTGATGCCATGGCACTCTACCAAGGGCGACACAGTGAGACTCTGTTTCAAAAAAGAAAAAAAAAAGAATAAAAACAATGGAAGTGTTGGCCAAAGTTGAAGGCAACATCTTCAACTCTGGCTCCTGTTTTGAAAACCAGAATTCTCTGGAAGTTAATGGAAAACTCAAAATAAGTCTGCTCTTCAGGTGTTTGCATAGGGCTTTGAAGTAGTCTCAAATAACTGACAGTGAAGATCAAGTAGTTAACAAAATATGCAATGCAAGGTCTCAAGGACAATTTACATTTATTTGATGATGACTCTTAATAAACATACTTCAAACACAGAAGTTAAAGAGTCTGTTTGTTAGGTGAAGCCATGTCTTGCCAAGGGCTAAAGATGGGTCCGTGAAAAGTAACTTGAATATCATCTTCAAGCTGAGACCCCAGCGCTGGGCAAACATCTGGTGGGTGAACCTGGTCCTTCTGGCCTGGATGGGGGCCTCTGAGGAAGGAACTACTCCTTGTTCTCATACTTGTGCTTGATGTGTTTCCACAGCTTCTGCATTTTAAAGACAAGAGCCACAAACTTTGACCTTTGCTTCTCACATTTTACAACTACTTCCACTGCCCTGGTCTCTAAAATAAACTCGAGAGAAACATGTGCCATGTCCTGATTGAAAATATACAGTTGGGTTTGGCGCCATAGCACAGTGGTTACAGAGCCAGCCACATACACTAAGGGTGGGTTTGAACCTGGCTGGGGTCAGCTAAACAATGACAATTGCAACAAAAAAATAGCCGGGCATTGTGGCAGGCACCTGTAGTCCCAGCTATTTGGAAGGCTGAGGCAAAAGTATTGCTTAAGCCCAAGAGGTTGCTGTGAACTGTGACACCACAGCACTCTACCGAGGGTGAAAAGTGAGACTCTATCTCAAAAAAAAAAAAAAAAAAAACAGTTGTGAGGGCAGTGTCTGTGCTCAGTGGGTAGGGCGTCAGCCACATATACTGAGGCTGGTGGGTTAGAACCTGGCCCTGGCCAGCTAAAACAACAATGACAACTGCAACACAAACATAGCTGGGCCTTGTGGGGGGTGCCTGTAGTCCTAGCTATTTAGGAGGCTGAGGCAAGAGAACTGCTTAAGCCCAAGAGTTTGAGGTTGCTGTGAGCTGTGATGCCACAGCACTCTACTGAGGGTGAAAATAGTGAGACTCTATCTCAAAAAAACCAAAAACCAAACAAACAAAAAATACAGTTGTGGACTGCAAACTGGAAGCAATGCTACCCTATGCTTGACACACAATTCTTAACATTAATACGATACTTTGATGCTTTCCATCACCATATGAGTGGAAAGGGATGATTGTTACTTTTACAGGAAACTGAAGTAGAGATTGGGGAACTGCCCCAAAGGAAAAATTATTGAGGAACAGAGCCTGGAAGATGACTCAGTTCTTCAACTCCCAGTTATTCGTGAGGTCTTAAATGCACAGATCCCAAATATTTCACACTGAGCCATTTTTGTATTTCCTTATTTTTCATTCCCCAAAGCACAGGCAAATGAATTATGACAATATACTTAGATGCCTTTCCAGGTCAGTGGGAATGGTCAGTGGAGCCATCTGCAAAAGACGGTTCAGTGTGGCAACACTTTCACATGGGCAGAAGTTTCTCTGGCCACAGGCAGTACAGAATTAGTGGACAGAGCCTTCCTGGGCTGTAGATTCAGAAAGCCTCAAGTTACAAAGACAAGTTGAGTGGTTGAATAAGGCTATCTGTTCAAGACTTCCCAGTACGGCCACAATTTAATGATGTAAAGCATACACAGTACTGAGCACAGTGCCTGATACACAGTAAGTCTAAAATCTCTTGTCCATTCCCTATCTTATGCTTGTATTTTCTCCTGAGGAATGTAACTAAAGATATTTTTTGGTGGTATCACTTACCAAGCACTGACCTTGCCTGTACCTCATATAATCCTCACAATAGTTCCCTCAGTTTACTGCTGTCATCTCCATTTCATAGACGCTCAGAAGTTAAGAAACTTGCCCAACTTAATGCCACAATGATTAATGATTAAATGACAAGGACCAGTATTCCTATCCAAGACTCTCTAATTTCATAGTATCCATTCTTTTTTTTTTTTTTTTTTTTTGCAAAGTCTCAAGCTGTCCCCCTGGGTAGAGTAATGTGGCATCACAGCTCACAGCAACCTCCAACTCCTGGGCTCAAGCGAGTCTCCTGCCTCCATCTCCGAAGTAGCTGCGACCACAGGCGCCGCCACAACGCAAGGCTAAGTTGCAGCCATCATTGTTTTTTGGTGGGCCCGGGCTGGATTCGAACCCACCACCTTAAGTGTATGTGGCTGGCGCCTTAGCCACTTGAGCCACAGGCGCTGAGCCATAGTACCCATTCTTAACCATCAATACCAAGCCGCCTGCTTGGGAAGCCCACTGATTTCCGGGTGGTGTACTCCTACTAAGTCCTTTGCTCTTTAGGCTTTAGCTTTTGCTTTGAAAATGGACAGGTGGGTATGTGGGGTAGGATGTATCAATACTTAAAACCTCTGCAAGCGGGATCTATTAACCTCGTTTAACGTTTTAGGAGTCACACCAGGCCGAGAGGACAGACGGCAGTCTGGAGACAAAAGATGCCCACGGTTTACCCGCCTCCTGGTAAAGACAGAGTCTCGCCCCATCTCTACTCCCACTGTCACCCCTCAGGCGGCCCCAAGGTCAGTGACGGCCCAGACCCTCACCCCCTCATTGATGTGCTCGTAGATCGCGTCCGCCCCTTGATCGAAGGCACGCTCGAAGAAGAGGGCGCCTACGGCGATGGTGAGAGCGAAGGTGGAAGTCCTGCGGAACAGCAGGGAATACAACCTCGCAGTAAACGTCGGGCCTGCCATCTTTCTCCACTGAGGAACTCGTGCGACCGCGCCTGCGCCAAGGCCGGCCGCGCTCTCCAAGGCCCTCGCGGGCAACACTTTGTGGGATTTGTAGTTCCTTTGAATCTCGGCGCTCGTCGTTTTGAAGAATGGAGAGGGGCTGACCTCTGAAGCAGAAAAAAAATTTCATAAGATTCAGATCAGGACATGCAGATAATTGGATAAGACTTTCTACTCAATTTTTCTTCTCAGTTATTCCCGGCTGTTTGACTACTTCGAACTACAACCCCCAGAAGCCCTCGCGCCTCCTCCACCTCCCCCTGCCCTATCTCGGCTTAGATTCCTAAGGCTTTCTGGGAAGGGGAAAGAGGAACTAATACCCAGGAAAGGACTACAAATCCCAGCAAGCAGCGCGCGACACAGAGCCGGCAGGAGGAGGAGCCCAGAGCCGTCTAGCCCCGCGGAGCCAGGTATCCTCTTTGGCCGGAAAGAGGCAAGTCCTAGTCTCTTTTCTTTCCAAGCGAAGATTGGATTCTTCCTTCTAAGTTCCTGCGCCTGGTGGCAGGATGTACCATTTCTTGGGGGTGGGGAGCGGATAGAGGGGCAAGGGGATCTGGGATCCCGGGACCCTGGCTTGTCTTTTTTCCTCGTCTCCTCTACCTGCTCCAAGTCCAGGCCAAGAGTTGGCGTCTGTGGCAAAAAGCTGGCCTCAGGGAAAAGGACGGCTCTTTCCACGCTTTTTCCTCTCACTGGGCTTCGCAGCGGAGAAACCTGACCTGGAAGATAGAAGACCTAGTATTACTCATTTCTTCTTAGGAATAGAAGTACCGGTAGCAAGGGCTTTGGAGTACTAGGGGCATTCAACAAATGTTTTCTAAGTGCCTCCTCTGGCTACTGCGCTGGGGACCTCACGGTGAACAAGTCCCTGCCTTCAAGGAGCAGTCAATCTACTGTGTGTGGGCGGGTGGGAAGGTGCAGTGGGACAAACAAGTAGTACTTTGAAAAAGGGAGGACAGGTTGGATGACTGCTCCGAGAGTGATACTTGCTTGAGTAGACACCTGAATGAACAAGAGCTGGTCAAACTGGACAACGTTGGTCCGGAGGCCTTGAGGTGGCCACAGTCCTGGTATATTTGAGAGAAGGAAGTAGAGTGGATTATGGTCATCAAGTAAGGTCTGGCCTTGTTAGCCCTGTTAAGAAGGCTTATTTTTTCTAACTGCACTAGGAAGCCACTGAAGAGTTTAAAGTAGAAATGTGGCAAGATATAATTCACATTTTAATGTCATCATTCTGATTGATTTTTGGACAATGGACTGTGATAGATCAGTTGAGGATGGATGATAATTTATTTATTTAGTTGATTTTTTTTTTGAGACAGTTTCACTTATTAACCCTCTGTAGAGTGCTGTGAAGTCGCAGCTCACAGCAACCTCCAACTCCTTGGGCTTAGGAGATTCTCTTGCCACAGCCTCCGGAGTAGCTGGGACTACAGGTGCCCGCTAATGCCCGGCTATTTTTTTTTTGTTGTAGTTTGGCCAGGGCTGGGTTTGAACCCACCACCCTCCTATGTGGGGCCGGCGCCCTACTCACTGAGCCACAGGCGCTGCCCTTCTTATTATTTATTTATTTATTTATTTTTGATACAGTCTTAGTTTGTCACCCTTGGTAGAGTGCAGTGGCGTCACAGCTCACAGCAACTCAAACTCTTGGGTTTAAGTGAGTCTCTTGCCTCAGCCTTACAAGTAGCTGGGACTATAGGCATATGCCACCTCTGGTTTATGGGGCCAGCGCCCCCTCCTTTGAACCACAGGTGCCGCCCATGCCTGGCTATTTTTAGAGATAGGATCTAGCTCTAGGCCAGTCTAGTCTCCAGTCTGTGAGCTCAGGCAATCCACTAGCCTCCCCTCGGCCTCCCAGAGCGCTAGGATTACAGGCTTGAGCCGCGGAAGGAGGGTAATTTAGATTAGGATGTGGATAAGTGATCAGATTTTTTTTTTTTGAGACACAGTCTCACTATGTTGCCCTCTGTAGAGTGTTGTGCTGTCACAGCTCACAGCAACCTTAAACTCTTGGGCTTAAGCAATTCTCTCACCTCAGCCTCCCATGCGGCTGAGACTACAGGCCCTCGCCACAACGCCAGGCTATTTTTTGTTGTCGCTGTTGTAGATGTCATTGTTTGGCAATCCTAGGCAGGGTTCAAGCTGCCAACCCTGGTGTATGTGGCTGGCGCCCTAACTGCTGAACCACAGCCGAGCCAAGTGATCAGATTTGAAATATATTCTGGGAGACAAGTCAGAACCAGCTAGTAGATGAATAGGGAATGTGCAGGAAAAAGGAATTAAGGACATCCAAATTTTGACCTTAAAATCTTAAAATCAACCAAGAATGATTCTAAATTCTGATTTAGCCACATTCAGTTGTCTAAGCTACCCCTTACACATCAAGTGGAGATGATGTCCTGAGGCGAATGAGGATGTGGGTCTGAAGTTTAGAAGCCCAGCTCTGAGCCTGAGATAAAAGTCAGCAGGGGTGGCATTCAAGCTGAGGGACTAGATTCCAGGCCTAACTCTGCCTCTGACTCTGTGTGACCTTGATCAGACTCCCACTCTCTGGGCCATATTTTAATTCATCTGTAAAGAGCAACAGTAATATATGATTAGGGGACTAGAAGGAAAAATGTGAAATGCTCTACATCCATTATGAGTTATCCTCCCTGTAGCCTTTTGCTACTTCCAAAGCATCTTGGTAGCCTCTTAGGACAGGAAGCTGTGAGGCTTCAGGGAAAAACTGCTTAGGTTTTACTGATCATTCCCAACAAATCTGACTGACAGGAAGTTCAGAGAGGAAGAATCATTTTAGGTGGGATGAGTAGAAAAGACCACAAAGGATTAAAGGTGTGGCGTGTTTTATTTTTTATCTTTTCAATTAATTCTCATTTCAGGCAAGGGGGCTCACATCTATAATCCTAGCACTTTGGAAGGCTAAGGTGGAAGGATCACTTGAGGCCTGGAGTTTGAGGTTGCAGCAAACTGATAACACCACTGCACTGTAGCCCACAACCAGACCCTATTTCAAAAAAAAAAGAAAAGTCACTTTGGACTAACAACTTTAAAAACTTAATATTCTGGGCAGTGCCTATGGCTCAAAGTAGTAGAGCGCCAGCCCCATATGCCAGAGGTGGCGGGTTCAAACCCAGCCCCAGCCAAAAACTGCAAAATAATAATAATAATAAAATAAAAATAAAAACTTAATTTTCTTTAAGCCATCAATTTCAACATAGAAATTGTTACTATATATATATACATATACACATCTAGGAAAATGAGAAAAATGACCTTAACTTTTCCTTGATTAATGTTAAATTGAACATCAATTGTAAATTCTTTTAAACAGCCCTATTTACAGTTTAATTACTTTCCCTAATACATTTTAACTCCACTTATAAATTTAATGCATTTGATTTTCTTTTTAAATACTTCAGATGCATAAACTAAGAATCATAATTTCCTCAGAATACTTAAACAGTTGCTAGAAAATCTAATCAATTAAACTTACAAACATAATTTAAAGTTTTTTTTTTTAATGGAGACAGAGTCTCACTGTCACCCAGGCTAGAGTTCCATGGTATCAGCATGGATACCACAGCAACCTCAGACTCCTAGGCTTAAGCCATCCTCCTGCCTTAGCCTCCCAAGTAGCTGGGACTACAGCTGTCAGCCATGATGCCTGGCTAATTTTTCTATTTTTGTAAAGGTGAGGTCTCGCACTTTCTCCGGCTGGTCTTGAACTCCTAAGCTTAAGTGATACTCCTGCCTTAGCTTCCCAGAGTGCTAGGATTATAAGTGTAAGCCACCGACCCCAGCCAAAACAAGAGTATAAATTCAAGTTTTTATTTATTTATTTATTTATTTAATTTTTGTAGAGGTAGAGTTTCACTTTATCCGCCTTGGTAGAGTGCTGTGGCATCACACAGCTCCAACAACCTCCAACTCCTGGGCTTAGGCAATTCCCTTGCCTCAGCCTACTAAGTAGCTGGGACTACAGGCACCCACCACAATGCCTGGCTATTTTTTTGGCCAGGGCTGGGTTTGAACCTGCCACCCTCGGTATATGGGACTGGTGCCCTGCCCACTGAGCCACAGGTGCTGCCCTAAATTCAAGTTTTTATAAACAATTGTTTTTATGTCAGTGGCTCTCAGTCTGGAGAACTGGAAAAAAACAAAAACTATATATTTTAAATTGGAATCACAATGGTTAGCAGACGGTTACTCATCATAACAAATTCTTCCAATGTTATAGATGCTTTTATTTATTTTTTATTTTTTATTTTATTTTATTTT